TATTATATAATGTCTATAATGTTCTGTAAATATAAAAAAAATGTAAATAAAAATAATAATAATAAATTATATCTGCCAAAAATATTTTGCAAACAATTTTAAGTACAGTTTTCTTTATATAATTGTATTTAAATTACTTTAGCACATAAAGTTAAACACTTAAAAAAACTTTCTTTTTTCAAGAAACAATAGTTTTATTTTTTTTAATGTGTACAATTTTTTTTATTTTAAGTCATGTGTGTGTAAGTACAGTATTAATTGTGTATATATCGGTGCATGAATTGAAATGCATATACCAATGCAGAAGTGGAAGAAATATGCTCTGTGAACGTCAAAAAACAAAATGACTATTGTTTTATATGTATGTATATTTTTTCATTCTTTAATTTTCCTTCGGCTTAGTCCCTTTATTTATCAGGAGGCACCACAGTGGAATGAACCACCAACTTATCCAGCATATGTTTTGCACTGCGGATGCCCTTCCACTGCAACCCAATAATGGAAAACACCCATACTCACTCATTCATAAACTACAGAAAATTTAGTTTATTCAGTGCACATATAGCGCATGTGTTTGGACTGTGGGTGAAACCGGAGCACCCGGAGTAAACTCGGGGAGAAACTCATCAACATAAGGAAAACATGCAAACTCGACACAGAAAAGCCAACTGACCCAGCCGGGACTCGAATCAGCGACCTTCTTGCTCTGAGCTGACTGTGCTAACCACTGAGCTACCGTGCTACATTTTTTTTATTATTAGCTGGGTAATTTTATTTCAAGAAACAATACTTATAAGTATAGTTTTTATAAATATATTATAACTGTAGTATAAAGTTAAACCATATAAAAGCATGCCCTTACATTTAGTTTTTTGACTAGTTTTTTGAAAGTAATTTTATTAGTTGTTAGTTATTTTATTTAGTATGTCAAGTTTTATATGAGAAATTGTATTCATCAGTGCGAGAAACATACTGTATGTAATGCATAAACAAACGCTGATAAATACATGATGTGTCTTTTAATGAGGTTTATATTCATTTAATTTTATTTTTTAGGTTTTGCTTCTTTTACTTCAATTAACTAAATGACCAAAACAAAATTAGTTTTCTGGTTTTAGTGCAACTCTAATGACCATGGTAGCCCTTTTTCTTTAATTTTACTTGTGTCCATCGTCTGTGTTTGGAGACGCAGTATTTACTAAGGGATCATGATGTCACCCATCCTGTGTAAATTAATAATTCAGATGAGGAGACAATGAGAGTAACTGCAGCCTTTAGAAAGCAGAATATGAGGTTATCATAGAAGAACAGGCTGCATACAGAAACGCTGAGGCAAAAGCTGACTAATGCTGCTAGATGGTGATCACATTCACATAATGACACGCTTGTTCTCTTTACACCCTGATACTGACAGAGCTACACTGTTAATGCTAAATACAATACAATAGAATGGAAAAAGTGCAATGGAATAGAGTTCGAATGCAATTGAATAGATTCAAATGGGATAGGTTAGAATTAAACTCATCTTTATTTCTATTTTACAATGTAATAACAAACATTACCAATGATAAAAGTGAAGGGGAAAAAACCCGGAGACAAAACAGGCTCTGTTTGGCACAACCATTTCTCCTCTGGCCAAACTTCTTGTGCAGAGCTGCAGTGTAGGTGCTGTAGGCTGGAGAACACTGGACGTCCATCGTAGAGAAGCTGCATGTGAGTAGGTCACTGGCTGGTGTACAGACTGGCCCACAGGATCAATGCAGAGACTCGTCTGTCACTGGGGTCTTTCAGGAATCAGTCTCATGCTCTTCCTTCCTCCATGTCCACAACAGCATCTGCTTAGGATACGGCCTGGTCCAGGATTATGGAGACCTCAGAATAAGGGAAATACAGAAAGATGCGCAGATGCCATTTAAATAATAGCACCTTTTGGGAAGTGTTCCTGGCTCCTTAATTAAGGCAGACTAGCAATCCTTTAGAGGATTTGGATTTCTAAAGCATGTGTGTTTTATGTGTATGCTAGTGCAAAGTGATGTGTCTTAAATCTAGTTTTAAAGATATGAGAAAGATCTACCACCTACAGTTGATTTTGATATTCTGGGAATAATTAATTGTCCAGAATTATTTAAGCATAATATATGAGAGGGGCTATAATACACCAGGAGATCCCTCAAATACTGGCGAGCTAAGCAGTTCAGGGCTTTGTAGGTAGACAATAAAATGCTCGAATTTATACGATATTTAATGAAATGTAATGGAATTGAATAGATTTGAATGTAATAGAATGTTTTAGACTGGAATGAAATATATTGCAATGGAATATATTTGAATGGATTAGAATAGATTAGAAAGGAAATGAATGGGAGGTGAGAATTGAATAAAATGGAATGGAATGTTTTTTTTATGGAATAGAGTGTTTTTTTAGAATGGAATGAAATTAAAATACAATGTAATTGAATAGATTCGAATAGACTTAAAATGGAATATAATGTTTTTTTTACAATGAAAAAGAATGCAATGCATTTGAATGGAATTAGAATGGAATGGAATAGATTAGAATTGTATAAAACAGAATGGAATTAAATAAAATGGAACAATGTTTTTTACAATGGAAAAGAATGCAATGCATTTGAATGGAATGGGAAAGAATGGAATAGATTAGAATTGTATAAAACAGAATGGAATTAAATTTTTCGATTCACTTCATCTTTATTTCTTCAGCACTTTTACAATGCAGATTATGTCAAAACAGCTTCTCATAGAAGATTATTGTAAATTGAAACAGTGTCATTTTAATTTTCAGAGTTTAATTTCTGTTCAGTTTAGGTTAGTTCACTCCAAACACTGAAGAGCAAATCCATAGATGCGCAGGTCTACAAGTCCTGAACTATGCAAGCCAGTGGCGACAGCAGCACAATCGAAGGAAATGGAATTAGAATGGAATGTAAAAGAATTGAATAGACTTGATTAGAATAGAATAAAATGAAATGGAATAGATTTTTTTAGAAAGGAATGGAATATAATTGAATGAAATTAGACTGGAATTTGATAGGTTCAAATGGAAATAGAATAGAATAGAATAGAATAGAATAGAGGTTGTGATAGGGGAGTAATGAGAATATGAGTAGTAATTTCTGACAGATTGCATATGAAAATGAAAAAAGGATCTAAGAAAATGAGGAAATGATAGTGTCAAAATATATGTGGTGAAATTAAATGCCAGTGCTGTCAAAATACTAATGTTAATTAAAAACAGGATGTGTGTGTGTGTTTTATGTGTTGTGTGTTTTAATAAACACATATAGGCCTATGGAATATAAACAAACTAACAGATAAATAAAAACATGATAACTACTTTAATAATATTCTTTATTTGGCTGCATACATTTTCTACAGCTTTGAGGTAACATCCATATTTGAGTTCCAAGGTTATTCCCTCTAGATGATTACATATTACAAAGCATATTTTAATAGATGAAAATCAATATAAAAAGCTTTTCAGTCTGCAGCCTTCCTACAGCAAATGGTCGTCTAGGGCCTTATACTGTGAGTAGCCAAGATATTGCATCGTCGTTCTTTCCCTCTTTGACCATTTCTGTCTTTATAAATGCATCATTTGCTTGCAGGCTGTGGAAATGGGCTCGTTTCCCAAGTCAGTTAAATGCAGAGGATAATCGGGGCATTTCACACACGTTTTGGTGACACCAAAATAAATGATAAGGAGGAGATGATAATTACTGAAGCCCAACCCTCACCACACTGCTAAAGCAGATGACTGCTGTAAATAGACAACACCCGGTTTCTGCGCATGGCAGATGAAGAGCAATCATCACCCCGTGTTTTTTTTTTACTGTGTTAGTGAGGAAAAAACTCAACATCAGTCATCAAATGCTTCACTTAATTGTAGATCCACGTGCCCGAGCGCGCGTCCGTTGTCAGGGAGGAGCGTCTTAAACATCATCGTGTTTTTCATGTTTGTTTCGATTTTGATTTAGTTTTAGCATTGAACGTCATTGTGTTACAGATGGGACTGTGTATGCATTGTAAACAAAATGTATACTTATTATTAATACGATTAGGATGAATCTATTTTTTAAACATTAATGCATTAGGAAATTACCGTGGGAACTTTAATGTAATACAGTTTGGTTTATTTTAATTCAGTCCATCACTCTCAATTAAGTTTATTTTTTAACCCTTTATAGGAAAAAGTTTGGGCATCCCTGCGCGAGCTTCCGTTGTTAGGGAGGCGCGCTCTCTCTGTCGTGTGCGCGCTCGCTCGGCGAGGAGACTCTGGACCAGACTCCTCTACACGCGGGACCGCAACGAGTATGGAAAACTGACTTTAAACGGGAATTTACCGATTTACCAAAGAAACAAACAACTACTACAGTCCTGATCGGTGGACTATGAGTGAAAGATAGAGGAAAATGTTCAGTTTGTGAGGAAACAACAGTTGTGGACCGCTGTTATAAAGGTGAGGACTGTCGCACACCTGCACCAACAGGTACAGATTGTAGGATTTATTGAATATCAAAACAAAATCTGTCGAAATTGTTGAATATTAGTATAACATTATCACAAATATCTTAGTAAACTACATGACTTTAATGTTATCATTGTTGGGTGTCCTTGTTATTCGCTTGTAAAACGTTAAGTTATTGTTGTGTTATATTGCTATTTCAATAATGACTTTCCGTATGCAGTAGGCTACCCCCACACTCCGAAATAATTAATTAGTTTTAATTTTATAAATCTTTAATTTTACATAATCATCATACATTTCTTGAATTATAACAAAAAGAAAAACGCTGAATTAAAAACAATTTACACGTATATTTTCCATAACTGCAGTGACCACTGGATGTCAGTCTCCAAAAAGGCAGAAATATCGAATACACACACACACACACACACACACACACACACACACACACACACACACACACACACACACACACCATATTGTGCATTCATATAACAGCTGTATGAGATAAACAGAAACAACTTTAGAATGACAATTTAAACACTTGCTCAGAATAAAGTTATTACATAAATATTGTGAAAAAATATCTGTTTAAATATCAGAAAAATGTCATTACAGCAAATTCTCTGCGTTAATTTAACTAATTACAGGGTTTCTGCAGGTTCTTTAAATGTCTTACATTTCAAAAACTAAACTATAGGCCTTAAAAAGTCTTAAATTCACAGAAATATTGTCTTGTAGGTCTTAATTCTTTTTATACAAGTCTTAATTTTCATCTGTCATTGTCCCCAATCACCAATAATCCATCTGAAAAACCTTCAACCAAACTATATACTAGTTTTTAAAATTTGTTTTTGAGAAAAGTTCTGTTTAAAATGTGCATTTACATTTTTAATGTACATTTTTCTGACACATGACTTTGTGAGACCTCCTGAATTAAAATAAGCATATTTCATCTTCTTTTTGTATCATACAGGTTGTTGTGAGTCAAATGTACTCTAATGTACGTTAGAGTTAATCAAACAGCTAATATACACTTAAATTTTAACGTGTTCCTCATAAATAAAATATTTAACGGTGTTAAAAATGTATATATATGATTTTAAATATGGACTATGTTCTAAAATAACATTTGTGTGTGTGTGTGCGCGTGTGTGTGAGTGTGTGTGTGCACTTGAAAAAAAGTGTCAGATATGGATTTACAATAACAATATGTGGGTGAGAATTTTGAGCAGATCTATTGCTTTAAGAATTACCATTTCGACAGTTAAAAGCTTAAGCAAATAACCCATTACATCCATGGAAAGTGTTCATAATGTAAGGAGTATCAACAGGTATGTTCAGATAAAAATGAATGCAAACAGAGCACTCACTCTGTTTGCTGTACAGTGTTTACAGAAGCAGTATGCCCACGGGATGTTGACTTCACCAATTCAATTCATAGTTTTAAAGCAAGAGTATTAAACATGGTGCAAATATACAGTTGAAGTCAGAATTATTCGTCCCCCCTTTAAATTCTTTTTAACATTTTTCCCGAATGATGTTTAACAGAGCAAGGAAATTTTCACAGTATTTCTGATAACACTTTTTCTTCTGGAAAAAGCCCTATTTGTTTTATTTCGGCTAGAATAAAAGCCTTTTTTATAACCATTTTAAGGACAAAATTATGAGCCCTTTTAAGCTATATATTTTTTCAATAGTTTACAGAACAAATAATCGTTTTACAATAATTTGACTAATTACCCTAACCTAATTGCCCTAGTTAAGCCTTTAAAAGTCACTTTAAGCTGTATAGAAGTCTCTTAAAATATCTAGTCAAATATTATTTACGGTCATCACCACAAAGATAAAATAAATCAGTTATTAGAGATGAGTTATTAAAACTAATATGTTTAGAAATGTGCTGGAAAAAAAATTCTTCTCTCCGTCAAACAGAAATTGGGATAAAAAATAAACAGGGGGGCTAATAATTCTGACTTCAACTGTACATTTATTTCTTTTGTTGCATTTCTGTGTTGACTATCAGTTTAGTAGTTTACTCAGTCATTAATGTCTTAGTCACTCTTAATGCTGAGCATGAGAAGCTGAATCAGCAGAGACAGGCTGTGCTGATGAGCAGTTGTACAATTATGAAAATGATTAAAGCTAGCTTTGCGTCATTTGCTCAAATGCAAAAGCAGTCAACAAACAACGCTAATACACTCGCTGTGTGCTGTAAAATTACCACGGAAACCTTCAGATCCAGAACAAAACCTCAGACAGAGATTAACAGTTAACATTTTAAGCATAGTAAAACTAGAGTGCTCATAACTGGCTGTTGCAGGAAAATCAGTTCAATACCTTATAGTTTAATGATGCATAACTTTAAATGTTCTCCTTTAGGGAGTGGCTGTAAGGTCATTCTGGGAAAAGATATAAATGGTAGTCATAAAGTCAACCTGTTGTTCAACAGTGCATCGCTTATTGCACGCAGAATATGGCAAGCTGGCATAAAATCTTTGCTCTGCAATTGTGATGTATAAAAATGACAGAAACCAGTCCATTGCTAAACCAAGAATTGTTAGCCCTCTTGTAAAGTAATTATTTTGCTTTGCTATTTAACAAAGAGAAGATTTGTTTCTAGCACATATTTGAACATAATAGTTTTTAAAAGTAATTTCTAATAAAAAATAACATTTCTAATTGAAAATAAAATTTTCTGTAATACCGTTTGGTATGTGCAATATTTTTTTATTTACATTTATTTTTTTTATTTATTTATTTTTAGTTTTTTAGGACAACTGTATTTCCAGCAGAAAAGATATCCAAAGATGCCGCTTAAATTGTCAAGAAATCTTTGTTTTTGGAACAAATGAAGACAGCAGAAGTCAAAGATTTATTTGAATTATTTAGCCTGGCATGTTTACTGCTCCAAAACATTTTAAATGTTTCTCAAAATAAAACATATATTGTGTTCAAAGGGGAAAAAAAGTTTTTTACCCAGACATTTAAAACATATTTTACAGTAGTATCACAATACTGAGGTACCGTGAAACCATGACATTTTTATACAAGGTTATCATACCGTTAGAATCTTTTACCGTCCCATGCCTAATGACAGTACATAATACAGCATTTTACTTATTTAGCAAGATACTAGTATTCAGCTTTAAGTGCACTTTAATGCTTAACAAGGTTAATTGTACACTGTAAAATATATTTAATGACAAAAAGTGAAGACAACAATATTTTTATGTTGCATTAACATATTTTAATAAGATAATCATGTTTTAACTAAATTGTTTGTTATACAAAGTTTAATTAATATTTTTAGTCAGTTTGATTGATGTAAGTTGATGACTAGAAAAGATAGTTTGATTCAACAACAAAAACATAAGGCAGCAATAATTTTTTTTCACTAGCCATGTTTTCATCCAAAGAGGGGAATTAAATTTCTGCGCAAAACTGGAATATTTAAAAAAAAATTTGTGAATAAAACAGCGTTTCCATCCAGCAAGTCTGAGAGAACAAAATCATCACCTCCTGATAAACTGGTGCCAAATATCAAAAGAAGAATGGAAGTTGTTGCATCAGGAGAAGGCCTTTTTCATATATAATAATCACTTGCATCTTAGAACACGTATATGAAACGCAATGTGCACAGTCAAGTCAATCCTCTTCTTGAAAGATTTGCGTGTTCCGCTGACGTTTTTCCATCACTCTTTTTCTCATAAATAACATTTAAAATCATCCACCCAAACATACCATATCACTTTTCACCATTTTTGACATCACATGATCTGTTAAAGCAAAATGACATTACTTTATGATGCACATGCTGAAATTTATTTGTTAAATGTGTTTTCATAGAAGTTTATGCACATTCTTTCTTATCGGATAAAATTTATCCTACTCATTTGTGCGCATAATATTTTAAAGTGCATTTTTAAAGTTTATGTGGATATTGGCGTTTCCATCCAGGGTTTTTTTTTACGTGATATTCCAAAATCTGCGTAAAAAAAGGTGGATGGAAACGCAGCTACTGTAGGTTAACTAGGCAAGTCATTGGACTATAGTGGTTTGTTCTGTAGCCAGTTGAAAAATAGAATTTTTAATGAGGCTATTACAGTTTTTCTCAGTCGCTTTGGTGCATTTCTCACAACATTATTTACATTTGCACAACAGTTAATGCATTTCTCAAAACAATTAGTCATTTGTGCACATCCTAGTAGCAGTTTCTCATTCCTTTCAACAAATTGCGAATGCTTTCGGACATGCATCAATTGCTTTCATTCAACTCTCTGCTATTTATAACATTATCTTTTACTTATGTCATGTCAGTCAAAATGAAGTAAACTTGTAAATGCTGAATAGTCAATCTATATAAAACTAACAGTCCTCATTTCATTACTTAAGTCATTACATACAAAAATGTTGAACTTGATGTCAAAATCGGTCAAGCAAACTTTATAAAAAAAAAAAATCTTTATTTTCCTGAAAATGTCCTTTAAAATTGAACAGTTTGATGAATGATTTACAGACCTGTGTAGGTTCAGGTCCAATATGTACTGCAAGAATGTTTACAGTTGTGCACAGTTTAACCCAAAGGGAGTTTATGTTTGTTGTAAATAAGCCTGTGTTTATTCTTTTGCACAATGCTGTGAATAAATTAGGATTGTAAAGAGCAAATTCAGAGTAAAAATGTAAAAACATACATATTCAGTGTCTTGTACTCAGATACCTCACTAAATTACAGTAAGTGATGTCTAACTTTACTGTAGTTTTCAAATGGCTGTGCAAATAGTATATGGTGATGTCTTGAGCATTTTCAGGAAGTGTCACCAAAATCAGACTTTTTTGCATTGAAAAAATGTCCAGAGTAAACTCATAATGAAAACATGACAAAGCCATCTGAATATCTTGTTCATAAACAATGGTGTCGGGACTTTTCATTTTGATGATACTGACACTTTGATTGACATCAATATTTGCTTTTGAGGAATGAACTATCCATTTTGAGCAAGTGACGTGCTTTTGCAGTTTAACAGCTAGGTTTTGCAGTTTATACTAATTGTTTTGAGAAATGCATTAACTGTTGTGCAGAAATGCACTGGTGCTGTGAGAAACGCACCAAAGCGACTGAGAAAAACTGTAATATTGATATTAGCTTTTTTTTACATAAAAAGTTGATTTATGTCAAACTAAAAGACATGAGGAGAGAACAATATAATAGGAAATACTATAAAAAACACATGTGGCTCTGTTAAACATCAGGTGGGAAACATTTGAAAAAGAACTTAAATTTGGCAGGATAGCTAATAATTTTGTCTTAAACTCTATATAAAAAGGCAGAAAACAGTCTTAACAAAGGCTAATCGATTTAAACAAAACAAACTGTGATTGGTTGACACTCATGTCAGTCAGAAGCAGTATATGGGTGGCTTCTGGTCAAACTAACCTGCATTGTAGCCAGTGGTGGAGTCTGACACTGCATATCTGTAATTGGTGTCATGAGGAGCACATGATCATGTGTGGGAATGAATGGTAAAGTGGGAAACTGAGCTAGAAAGGACACAGACAGGTTGAATAACTGGACGGTGTTCGGGTTGGGTATGAAACATTGGCTGACATGCAGCAGGTTCATCCTTTACTGTTCAGGTACAGCCACAGGAGGCCGAAACCTGGACGATTCACACCGGATTCAGTCATGGATCTTACGCTAGACATACCCTGCAGATGTCCTCGCTGTGAGTAAAGGAATGAGCATTATGCTAACCGCTTTACATTTTTAGCAGCACTTTCTTAAACGAGTGGTTCCGGCTTATATTTGGGTACTACAAATCTAGAAATGAAGTTCTGGATTTTTTGACTCACCCCCATGTCATGATCAAAGCTATGATCTAACCTTAAAAGACAAAGTATGGTGCACATTTTGGATAATGTACTGTATGTGTGGAAAAGCCATAAAATGGTTTTAACAATAAATAAATAAATAAATAAATAAATAAATAAATAAATGTTCTTGTGAAATGGCATGGGTGAGCAAATATTGACAGAAGTGTCATTTTTAGATGAATTATTCCTTTATGTTTTTACTTATCCATTCACTCTAACAGGTTTTCATTGCACCTTACTTTTGAGGGATTATTTATCTGTTTGTTTCTGGATTTGCATGAGCCGGCCTGTTTTTGGATGGGGTTTATTATTGTGTTACATTAGCATCTTAAGGATTTATTGCTCTGGTTTAAGTTTGATTTATTTTCTAGATTTTCATTTGTTTGTACAGTTGTTAACTAAGTCTTTTAAATGTGGCACATGTATATCAGTGGCCCACAAAATGATTGACTTCATTTTGTTTTTTTATTTAATAATATCTTTGATAATTAGACTAAGTGGGTTTAATTATCAAATAACTAAATTAAATAGTGCATAAATGAGAACAACAGCTACATTAAAACAGTTATTGCACTTTCAATCCTGATCTGGGCAACTTTCAACTATAATAATAACAATAATAATAGTAATAATAATAATAATAATAATAATAATAATAAATCATGTATCAGATCTCAACCACGTTCCTGGAGGAGCACCAGCTCTGCACATTTTCCATGTTTCCTTAAGCAAACACACCTTATTCAGATCATCAACTCATTAACAGAGACTGAGGCTGCGTCTGAAACCGCTTACTACTCTGTTGGTACTACATTTAAATTTAAATGTACTACTCAGCGGTTAGGAAAGTAAGTCCTGTACAGTATGAATGTGAGCAGTGTGATTAGAATTCGGTCATACTATATCTGCCATTTTGTCATGATCACGTGACTTATCATCGTGAGTTGCATCACTTCACTCCCATTTATGAATTATCTTGTGGGGCATCATGGGATATCACAGCATACATATGATGCGCACTTCAGAATCTCGCCAGAATTTGTAGGTCACTTGCATACTGATTTTCGAATTCTATGAATTCGGACATACTTATTGGCTTGCATACTGATTTTAGCATACTACATATTATAGAAATATGCAGTTTCGGACGCAGCCTAAAAGACCTGTGATGGGTGTGACAGACAAAGGAGACATCCAAAACATGCAGTGTTGGTGGTCCTCCAGGAATGTGTTCGAGGAACACTGTATTAAATAGAAACCTATTTGTTTTTTGTTTTTTTAAAATAAAATGGCAAAGCAATATCAAAAATGAATACAGGTTTTTTCAAAGGTGAATGTGGCCCAGATTATAATTTAAATGTAGGAGTTTTATATTTTCATGAACTAAACAGATCTGTGTTTTAATAATAATTCAGAGTTTTAAAAAAACAGCGATTTTAATGCATTCTGTTGATGTTGATGAATGAAACAATCCCAGGTTCATTGAAAATACATGGCTCAGGCTTCATTTTTGCGAGATCTGAAATTAGTTGCTCTGGGTACATTTTTTTGCAGGTTTTAAATTTCAAATCCACTAGAGGGCGCAGTGTTTTTTTTTTTTTTTTTTGCTAGCCTTGAATTTGTTACTTAGATTGTACATTTCTGACACATTTTCTTCTTGTAAACGTCCAGGAGATGGTGGAGGTTGTCGCACAGATCAGCTAGTGAACAGTTGTCCTAAAGCATAGGTCTCAAACTAAATTCCAAGAGGCCTGCAGCTCTGCACAGTTTTGCTCCAACCCTATCAAACACAACTCATCCAAATAATCGAGGTGCTTAAAAGGGACATTAACATCTTGATTATTTTGATCAGCTGTGTTTGATCAGGGTTGGAGCCCCTCTTGAAGTTGAATTTGAGACCTATGACTTAAACACTTCCTAAAACCCAACTAATAGTGTTTTCAAAAGGAAATGTAAGATTAAAGTCCACTGTGACCATGTTTTTTTTTTTCAAGTTTTACCATAATTTTATGTTACTTTTATCTCTTTACTTTTATCTCTTATCTCTGTAGCACAAGTACAACACCATACAATGTTGAAAAATTGACTATGTGGAGATAGATAGGTGAGGCAGATGTATTCCATTACAAATTATGGACGTCATTAAAGTGTTCATTTATTAGGTGTTGTGCTAAAACTGCATGAAAATAGTCCTATATTTGCTGATAATATGTACCCTTAAATATCAATACCGTGAAAAGGAACAAAAGTTGTTAGTGTCATGCTGCCCCCTAGTTTTCATTTTAACTAGCAATTGGAGTCAAACATAGTGTTTTTATGTGGTTTCACAAACATGTAGCCTGAGGCATGTATTTAAAATGAGCCTGTGTTATCTCAAACACTTACAGCTTTAAGGAATTTGTAACAAAATTCATACTAACTGCCTTTAACTAATGTAGTTTAACTAGCACAATCCACTACTTTCCAGGTCATTGAGGCTTGCCATTTCCAATTTCTCCACAATCTTTCCTCACCGCTGTTCCTAATCAGTAACCCACAAGGTAACAAATCTCCTTCTGTGTCTGTAGGTGGTAAGGGCTTCTTCAAGATGAGTAACAACTGGAACTCCACCAAGCTGCTTGGGGTGCTGATGTTAGCTAACTTCCTCATCTACATCGCGGTGGAAGTGTCCCGAAGCCACAACCATGACCGAAATGCCTTCAAGAAAAATAAAATGATACCTAAGGAGTTCTGGAAAAAAACGAAAGTCAGTACGGCATTCTGGAACCGAGAGCAGGAGCGTCTTGATGACATCTACTATCTCCCTCTTGTGAATGCCAGTGAGCTGCCTCCTCATTTTCGGGGAATCCCACGTTGGCTGAATCATTCATGCAAGCATGATGTTAATGTGACGGCACAGATTGAGGATTTCAATTCTCTTCCGCAGCGATTCCAAGACTTCCTGTTGTACATGGGATGTAGATCGTACCCCTTGATAACACGCGCACCAAAGGTGTGTTCTAAACCACCATACCTTTTGCTTGCGATAAAGTCCCTTGCGCCACATTTCGACCGCCGGCAAGCCATTCGGGAATCGTGGGGACGAGCTGGAATCCTCGATGGTCAGCGCATTGCTACAGTTTTCTTACTTGGTAACACGGCTTCGACAGATCACTTCCCAGACTTATCCAACATGGTCAAACATGAAGCGGAGTTATACGGCGACGTCCTGCAATGGGATTACCGCGACACGTTCTTCAACCTCACGTTAAAAGAAGTCCTATTTCTGGAGTGGTTTGGTTCACATTGTGCATCTGCGCAGTATGTCTTCAAAGGCGATGATGATGTTTTTGTCAACACACGCCATATGTTGGCTTACCTTGCCAACTTTTCGATATCCAGCACACAGGATCTATTTATCGGCGATGTGATTACTAATGCCGGACCTCACCGGTCCAGACAACTGAAGTATTACATCCCAGAGAGTGTGTTTACTGGAGGTTACCCTCCGTATGCGGGTGGCGGAGGATATTTGTATTCGGGTAGTGTTGGATTGAGACTGAGAAAGATCTCCCGTCTGGTCACATTGTACCCAATTGATGACGTGTACACGGGGATGTGTCTGCAGAGGTTGGGACTGGTTCCGGAGAAGCACTCTGGCTTTAAGACATTTGACATTGAGGAGAAGCACCGAGAAAATCCTTGTGCTTACAAAGGTTTGATTCTGGTCCATCCCAGGAGTCCACAGGACATGATAAAGATTTGGTCTTGGATAAATGACCCTAACGCAATCTGTCACATCACATCAACACCCAAGACTAAAAAAACAAAATACACCCCATTATAATGAGTGAAATTACTATGCTGGATGCGGCACTCCAAGACACCTGGTTCTTTCCAAGTCACATACTTATGCACTGTTCTACGTCAATTTGTAACGTAGTCCAAGTAGTGCATTCACACTCAGAAATCTCAAATAGAGTAAATGCACTTCAATTTGCTGGATGATGTGCATTACGATTTGATGTCCACAGTTTTATTATGGAGATGATTACGCTGCCCGATGAGGGTGAAAGTCAGGGGTGTCCAAACTACGGCCTGCGGGCCATCTGCAGCCCGCGATCAGTTTTGTGGCGGCCCGAGAGGCTTTTTATGAATATTAATAGAATCTGGCCCGCTATACAAAAATGAACGTAATTCAATAATTAACCACCGGGTGTCACTATTACATGCCTTCAATTAGGCAGCAGTTCCTGTTATGAAGTAAAACGAACTAAACAATCTGAAAGAAACATAATTCATAATCATGTTTTGGCAGGCCATGGCACAAGCAAGAGAAAGGAAAATCAACAGTGAGTGCTGGAAATTTCAGTCAGGAAGGGGCACAGAATATTTCTTCACAGAGGTCAGTGGAATATGTGTCTGTTTAATTTGCCAGGAATCAGTTGCAGTAATGAAGGAATATAATATTAAAAGACATTATAAAATAAAACATCAGGCCTTCAGCTCTTACACTGGTGCCGAACGAGATCAAAAAGTAAAACAAATAGCAGCTGCCCTATCAGCTCAACAACAGCAGTTTTTTTTTTCGTGCTAATAAAGTGCAAGAAAATTCTACACTGGCTAGTTATGATGTAGCCCAGCTAATCGCACAGCACAGGAAACCCTTTACTGAAGGAGAATTTATAAAGGATGAGTGTTGCAAGTGTAATTTGCCCAGAGAAGATTCAAGATTTTAAAAACGAAAGTCTTTCTAGAAACACAGTTGGACGATGAATTAAAATAACAAATTAAAATAATTCCATAACACACACACACACACATACATATATACACATATACATACACACACACACACACACACATGTGTGTGTGTGTGTATATATATATATATATATATATATAAATACATACATATATATAAATGTGCGTGTCTGTGTAATGTATGTAATATATGGCCCGGGACAACTTTTTTTTTTTTTGCATCTGGCCCTCGGCCCAAAAAGTTTGGACACCCCTGCTAAAAGTACTCAATGTTAACTGGAAAACAGTCTAAATTTCCAGTTAGTATAGAAATGTTAATCCTTCATTTGGGATGACACTACACTCATACACTAGTGCAGGTGTGGCCAACCCTGTTCCTGGAGAGCCACCTTCCTGCAGATTTCAGTTGCTACCCATATCAAACACACCTGAACCAATTAATTAGGACCTGAACACAATGTGATAATTACAGGCAGGTGTGTTTTATATTGGTTCCAACTGAAATCTGCAGGAAGGTGGCTCTTCAGAAACAGGGTTGGCCACCCCTGCACTAGTGTATAGCATGTCATTTGGAGAGCCATTACAGATAGTAAACTGATAAACGATATTTTTAAAAGTTTGTTTTGGCATTTTGACATCAGTATTTAGTCAGGGATGGGGGAGAAGAATTCAGGAGAGTTTTGCGAGCTGGGACTCGAACTCAGGACACCTGAAGCACATTGGCGCTACATGTACACCAGGCAGTATGCCCTGACAACTGATAACCAATTTTATTGCTGATGTACGCCACATGTTTGTGCGAGTTTAATGAGCTCAACAGTTTTTGTAGCGTGATGTGTCTATCTACTCTGTAAAAATATCCAGAAATTAGCAGTTTTTTGTGAATCATGTTTATATTTTTTATTTGTCCCTGATTATTTGTGGGATTGTGGGAAATTAATCTTTCTTTCAATAATCGTAAGGTTTGAAAAGTTAAAAAAGGGACTTTTATGAACATTTCTAATAGTTCAAAGTGCTAAATTGTCTGGGTTGGTGTTGGTATTACTCTACAAAAGTCTGGTAATAAACTACCAGTACATTTAGTAATGTAAGTAATGTGTATTTATATATATGTGTGTATATATTATTGTCTATGACCATACACCCAAAGCGCTTCACAATCATGAGGGGGTCTCTTCACACCACCACCAGTGTGCAGCATCCACTTGGATGATGCGACAGCAGACACAGGACAACGGCGCCAGTGCACCCACCACACACCAGCTATTGGGGCAATGAAGAGACAGTGATACAGCCAATTCTGTGGATGAGGATGATTGGGAGGCCATGATCGTAAGGGCGGATGGAGGTTATTTGGCCAGGATATTCTTTACAAGAAGTGCAATGAGATTTTTAATGACCACAGAGAGTCAGGACGTTGGTTTAAGGTCTCATCTGAAAGATGGTACATTTGTCTGTTCGTTCACAGATGTATTTTTCTCTATATATTAGTTCTTATTCATTATATCATTTCAAAGTACTAAAATGTCAATAAAAGTCATTTTGTTAAACTGCAGAGTTGAATTTTTAACATCAAAAGTGAACAGAGCAGAGATCAACATCCCATAATGCAATTCACAACCGTAAATAAACCCAAAACCCAAAATATGGAAACTGTTATAACAGTTATAACTAAAATGTAAGGCTTTAAATGGTTCCTATTATGCTTTTATACTTTCTTTAATGTGAATTATTGCTGTTTGACTAAGAAAACGATCTGACAAATTTCAAAGCACAAAAACAAAAGGAACTAATAAAGTACTGAGCGTATGTCTGCCATTAAAGAGAAGTTTGTATGGTATTTATAACAGATGGATTTCTGTATTCGTGTTCTACATATCTCTTTTTTTATTCAGAAAACTGTATATATCAAGTGATCAGGGTGTTAAATCACATGCTGAAGTTTTGATTGTTGTTTAGATTATCTGAGACGAGCTGTAAAGGCTCCGCCCTCTTCTGGGAAGGGGGTGAGGAGAAGCAGCAGCTCGTTTGCATTTAGAGACGCGCATGAAAAAATGGGCATTTAAAGCATGGTACACTACAAAAAAAGTATGTTACTTGACAATGGTTCACAGTGTTTTCCGTTTATCCATGGTTGAGAATTGCATTATGGGATGTTGATCTCTGCTCTGTCGACTTTTGATGTTGAAAATTCAACTCTACAGTTTAACAAAGTGACTTATATTGACATTTAGTTGTTTGAAATGTTATAATTTATAAGAAATAATAGAGGAATTAGTAAAATAACAGAAAATGTGCTGCCAGTTCATTACAATGTTTGTCTAGCGTAATATACAGCACTAACCCAGACAATATATCACTTTAAACTATTAGGAATGCTAATAAAAGTCACCCTTTTTAAACTTTTCAAGGTTAAAAGTTGTTAGAAGAAAGATCAAAATCTCATAGTGTGATTCAAAAGTATAAATAAACGGGGAAAAATAAAAACCTGAATCGCAAAATAGGGAAAAGTGCTCATTTCGGGATATTTTTACAGTAATAAATAATCCATGATGTAAAAACCTCTTTTGAAAAAGCATAATATGACGCCTTCAAAAAGAGGCCTAATGATGTCACCTGAAAGGGAAAGTTGTTTGGGGGCGGAGCAAGTTATGTCATGAATATTCAGAATTTGACATCATGTGCATTAAACGTCTTTGTGTACTTTTTTGCCTTAATTTATTCAAAATGAGTGAAATATGCAAGAAATCAGAGAGCATTTTGTTAAGAGCTAAAGAGGCTGACAGGCTTTATTCTGTGTTTTTATTTATGTCTTTGCATTTGTGTGTGTGGAAAAGCAAAGCTGTGCTGGTTGACTCCTCTTTTCCTACATTCTCAGGTCGATTGTTCTTTAGGACAGCTATTAAAAACAAAAACAAAATGTGCAAGGCAAGCTTTATTACTTTCATTACGTGCTGCGTGTACAATTGTGACGTGACCTTTGCACATAGGACAATTAACAACACACTGAGAACTGAATTATTAGCCTCTGAAGTTCAAAGTCTGGCTAAGTCCCATCACTGTATAAACTTCTGTTAACTCTATATGAAGCATCTGCACAGTGATAGGATTTCTGGATCACATTTGAAATCATTGATCAAATTAAAATGTCCATAATTTATTCTGAAACAATCTGAACCCTTTTTTTTCAGTAAAACTCTCTTATAATTTCACTTGTATTTAGTTTTGTATTCAAATTAATAAAGGTATGTTTTGTTTATGAGGATGTTTGCAAGTGTTTATTTATTTAAGGCTGTTTATCATCACATTTTACTTTTCGGAAATGAGCTGATATGAGTTTTTATTTGAGTTTAAATACAAAAAAACAGATAAACAAGTTTGAATTAGCAACTTAAATATTCATTTATTTTCTTGTCGGCTTAGTCCCTTTATTAATCTGGCGTCGCCACGGCGGAATGAACCGCCAACTTATCCAGCAAGTTTTTACGCAGCGGATGCCCTTCTAGCCGCAACCCATCTCTGGGAAACATACACACACACACACTATGGACAATTTAGCCTACCCAATTCACCTGTACCGCTTGTCTATGGACTGTGGGGGAAGCCGGAGTACCCAGAGGAAACCCACGCGAATGCAGGGAGAACATGCAAACTCCACACAGAAACGCCAACTGAGCCGAGGATCAAACCAGCGACCTTATTGCTGTGAGGCGAACGTGCTAACCATTGCGCCACTGCGTCGCCAACATAAATATTAACAGCCATATTCAACATAAAACATCATAGAGCTATGGAAAAAATATGATCCATACTTGTGTTTGAGTTTTTATTGTGTGTGCTTTGTTAGTAGAGTAGAATATGTTGATTTTTTGCCAATTTGTCCTTAAAATGTTTTTTTTTTTTAATTTAAAACTGCTTTTGTTCTAGCCGAAATAAAACAAAAAATACTTTCTCTAGAAGAAAAAAATTATTAGACATACTGTATGATAAAAAAAAATATTCAAAGGAGGGCTAATAATTCTGACCTCAACTGTATATATTTACATTCATATAGACACCACAATACTAATGTTTGAATGCCAGAGGAGAAATGAATGTGAAAAAAGCAAGAGATCACTTTAAAAGGCTCTAGATTAATGATTCATATTTGTGTTCGAGTTTTTAAGTGTGTTTTATTCTTTAAATTACCAAAAATATAAAGTTTCTTGCTCGTTTAAAGGAATATACTGGCATTTAGAGAATTTCCAAAGCAGCCAAATATATAGATATTAACAGGGTTCAACAATAAGGATGGGCCGGGGCCAGCGTGAAAGATGTTAAGGACAGTAGAGAGAATCGTTACTGGCCCGATCAGGCCAGTGCTGCCTTGTCACAAAATTTTATTTTGCCTGTTACTTTTTGTCAACTGCATGCAAATACAGTCTTAGAATCAAGAAACAATTTGTGTTTTTAAGTCTTTGAATGCTTCCTTTTCTGTGAAGTCGTAAACACCATATTGCCTTTGGTTCCTCTGATCTGATTGGGTGTTGTAAGCACGATATTTTTTCCACAACCAATCAGTGAAGAGACGACAACATCAAATGATGAGGCTAAAAGAAAACATCTGTTTCTAACATTGTGCAAACAGACATTTACATGTGTACAACACCATGAAAAAAATCAAGTGATGTTTTGTATATTTGCCGTGCACTTTTAAGTCAGCCACCTTTAGTTTTGCAATAAAACACCTGCACATTTTCCATACTGCTATATTTTAACGCTAACGTTATCACAGACATTATTTTTGACACATTATTTAAAATATGTGGCTAAGAAATACTTTTTATTTTATTTTATTTTATTTTATTTTATTTTATTTTATTTTATTTTATTTTATTTTATTGTTGGTGGGGCCAGTGAAAATTGTGGCAGGGCAAGTAAAAATCTGAATCACGTTTTTTTTTTTTTTTTTTCAACAGAACAACAGTGGTACTGGTATCTCACAACATCGAGTAGGCTACAACAGTTTTTTAGACAAATGCTTCAAAGCAAAGACAAAAATTATAGGAGATAATAAAAGAGATTTAAAGACAGTCACTGAGTACTCTCAGGAAAAATCCAGGAGGACCAAATGCACAGAACACCTCAGATCTTTGATGTAAATCATAGGTTAATTTTCCCAGTGGCAGGAGTCTGATTGCCTGACTTGGCCACATATTGTAAGTATATACAAAAATTCAATCCACATTTTTTATCATGATCAAGACACAGTTCCGACCTACAATTAAGAAGGTATACCTTTGAGGACAAAGCAAAAGTCTTTCCAATTATAAAGTCTTTCCAATTATTTTTTTAAAATCATTTTCTGAATCTCTTTCCAGTACATTTAGATTTTGTCGCAATCCCAAAACACATTCAAAATGGTTTTATTAAAGCATTTGTTTTTCAGTAATTATAAATGTAAAAATATGGTCAAGTCTAGAAGGGATACAGATGCGGATACTCATATCAGTGTAAATATACATGATTTTTGTGACGCTACAGAACAATAATTTATGTTTTTACATTATTGTAAGGGTTGGGTTTAGTGTTGAGGTAGGGTTAGATGTTAATAAAATGCAATTTAATAAATAATTTAATAAATAATGTTACTAATACCTGGTCTAACTGCTGTTTTTACATTACTGTGATGGTAAAGGGGTAGACGTTAATAAAATAAAATTAAATTTAATGGGCAAATTAATAAATAATATGAATAATACTCGGTATATTTACTGTTTTTACATTACTGTGATGATTGGATAAGGGGTATACGGTAATAAAACTCAATTCAATAGGTAAATTAATGAATGATATAAATAATACTCTGTATAATTACTGATTTTACATTACTGTGATGATTGGATTAAGAGTAGACGTTAATAAAATGCTATTTAATGAGTATTTTTTTAAATAATATGAATAATACTCGGCATATTTACTGTTTTTACATAACGTTGATGGTTGGGGTAGGGGTAGACGTTAATAAAATACTATTTAATGGGTAATTTAATAAATTATTTTCGTTAACTGCCGCCCGCAACTTCATCCCTTTTAGCAACCACCTGTAGAATCCCCCTTAAATTTAAGCATTGTGGTAGCGCCCTCTGTCGGACGAAGAGAGCGTCGCATGGTAAGATCAGCTCATTAACTGCAGATATAGCACAGGTGATGCGGGGAACTTCTTCGTTTATGTCTTAAAACAAACAACTGACAACAACAACGTAGAAAATGCGTGATCATAAACCAAAAATGAGTAGTTACAGTCTTCTGATATTAATCTATTTGATAGGTTGGATAAGCAGTTTGGAGGTGAGTAACTCGTCGATGTTGATTATAGCGCGAACTCTTCACATGTAATCAAAACTCTATATAAGTAAATAGGCCCAACTCTCAACACATTTTAGTGTTTAAAATGTTTTATTCATATATAAATATGTTACAGATATTACATTAATATGTGTTTATATTTATTAAAATAAGTGTTTGGTCACCGAATATTATTATATTATTTACATAAAAAATAGTAATAATAAATTGCTAACTCAAAGAAATCAACTAAATTTATGTTGTTTTAGGTTTCTTTCGAGTTTTTAGCTTCGTTAACATTTTATTTTTGGTCTATGTTGATCTGAACTTTTCACATCTCACCCAAACTCACTGTTTTTGGCAGAGAAACCGAAATGTTGGACCAGCATCAGCAGGTAAACATCTGACTTTTGTGCCCTGTTTGTTCTCATGTTATAGATTTTGTATATTTTATGCTGCTTGTTCAAGGGTTTGTGCCAAGCACCTCTTAATAAAATACAAAACCATCTATTTTCATGTCCAAAGAAAGACCCAGTGTATCAAGTGTGAAAAAGATAGTGAGCTATTATGAAGTAGGCTATATAAAATGCTTAATCTGCTTTTATATACGTAATGTGATGTTGATGTTTTTAGAGAAGTTTACTTTATAAGCAAATTTAAGAAAAGCATTTGTGTATAGCTTTTTTTAGAGGGGGAAAGTCTAGTAGACACACACAGCGAGCAAAAAAAAAGAAAAAACATTTCCTGTATGTAAATATCAGTGTAGGCCTATTATTTGTGATAAAAACCCATTTTTAAAAAGATAAGACAGAAATATATATATTTCTCTAGTGGCTCATAACTGGTCTTTAAATATCAATATATTTTGAACAAATGCACAACTTTACAAAAAAATAATAATAAGGCTATTTATTATTTACAATTACTAGCCCATACCACTATCTTTCATGTTATTTTCTAAATTACCAATTGGAAAATTACTAAGTGAACTTACAATAAATGTTGTATTTGTTGCGGGAATGTTGCATGAATGTTCTGTGAATGTTGTAAAAATGTATTTGTTGTGAACGTTCTATTAATTTAGAATTTGTTGCATGAATGTTAAGCTAATGTTCAGTGAATGTTGCATGAATGATCTGTGAGTTTTGTATTTGTTGCGCGAATGTTGCTTGAATGTTCTGTGAATGTTGTATTAGTGTTGCAGGGATGTTGCTTGAATTTTCTGTGAATTTTTTCTTTGTTGCATGAATGTTTTGCTAATGTTCTGTGAATGTTTTATTTGTGTTGTGTGAATGTTGCGCTAATGTTCTGTGAATGTTGTATTAGTGTTGCACGAATGTTGCTTGAATTTTCTGTGAATTTTTTCTTTGTTGCGTGAATGTTTTGCTAATTTTCTGTGAATGTTGTATTTGTGTTGTGTAAATGTTGCGCTAATGTTCTGTGAATGTTGTATTTGTGTTGTGTGAATGTTGCATTAATGTTGTGTAAATGTTGTATTTGTGATGTGTGAATGTTGCGCTAATGTTCGGTTAATGTCATATTTGTGCTTCACGAATGTTGCGCTAATGTTTTGTAAATGTTGTATTTGTGTTGTGTGAATGTTGCACTAATGTTCTGTGAATGTTGTGTTTGTGTTGTGTGAATATCCCGTCAGGCGCCGGTCGGGAGCGCATGGCTTTCTTTGCTCTGCGCAGCTGCCATCAGCTCCTGCGCGGCGACAGTGGTGAGTTTTTCTCGCCGGATTTCCTGTGCTCGAACCCGCACGTGTGGTGCAACTGGACCGTGCAGCTGCCCCCGGGCAAGCATGTGGATCTGTACCTGGAGGATCTGACGCCGCCGGATGCCTGTCACCTGAAGAGCGACCAAATCCACCTTGAGGAGTCTCCGAGAGCGGCCGGAGGACAGCGAGTGCTGCAGGGCTGCTGGAGGACCGCCCGGTATGTGTCCATCTCCAACACACTGCAGGTGGTGCTGCTCGTGCACAACAGGCACATGCGCGTGCCATACCGGGGCTTCTATGCACGCTACAGAGCGTTCAGCTCGCAGGACACAGCAGAGCAGGAAGAGGAGGGGGGTGAGTCTGGTTTTATATTATAATTATGATAGTAATAATGATGTTAATATTGGTATTTGTTATGTTATAATTGTTATTATTATTATGGTAATACAAATCTACAGGGTTCAAAAGGTCATGGAAAACCTGGAAAACTCATGGAATTTTGACATGGCATTTTCCAGGCCTGGAACAGTTTTAGAAAAACAGAAAAAAACCACTAAGTTTTGGAAAAGTCTTGTAAAACAGATATCAGTATACTTGAATGTAGGTTATCAGCATCCTAATCAATTTTACATGGATATAAATTTAAACTAAATAGATTGCTGCGTGTTTTACGATATGCTGTAATAAATTTGATCATGCATGGTTTTCTTTAACCACGCATATGTAGACATTGCATGAAACATTAGGTCATGAAAATTTACTTAAGTCTCAAAATCATGGAAAAGTCATGGAATTTTAGTAGTAAAAATGTGTATGAACCCTGTATATAATAATAATAATAATAAAAATAAATTTTATGTTTTACATTCAGAATTAAATGAACTGTCTTTTTCATTATTTTGAAAAACTTTGTATTTTAATGTTTATTTTTTAATACAGTTCATAGTCATTTTATTAACTGCAATTCTTTTCTTTTTCATTTTTATTATGAATAATAAGAATGGTTATAATTATTTTATTGCTGCTATTTTACATGCAGAATTTATTTAGTTTAACAATTTGTTTTATATAGGCCACTTATTTTGGGAAAAAAATAAGTACACACTTGTGTATAGTCATTTTATTAATTAAATTATCTACATACATTTTCAGCTAGAATAATGTTATTATTATTAATATTATTATATTTTACATGCAAGTTTTATTTCTGGGATTTTTATTTTATGGTAAATGGTATTGGTCTTATTACCCACTTTTGTGTGTGTATATAGTCATTTTAATACATTAAAATTGTTTTCTTCATATTAAATATAATAAAAATAAAAATAAATATATATTTCATTTATTAATTTAAAATATATCTGCAGATAACTGTGCTAAAATACTCAAGTTCTTTTTATTTATCTATTTATATTATTATTTTTTTATTGTTAATCTCGTTTAAATTCCTGTAATGTAAATAAATCCAGAATAATTGCTTTATCATTTTATCAACAGTGTTGTTTTCATTTTTAAATTGTGAAAATATTTCGGGTGATAAATGTACTGAAATATTTGCTATTATTATTATTACTCTTTGTATTATTATTATTATTACTACTATTATTTATTTTCTTTTCGGCTTAGTCCCTTTATTAATCTGTGGTAGCCTCAGTGGAATTATCCAGCATATGTTTTATGCAGTGGATGCCCTTCCAACTGCAGCCCATCACTGTGAAATCCATACACACTCATTCACACACATACACTACAGACAATTTTAGCTTACCCAGTTCAGCGCATGTGTTTGGACTTGTGGTGGAAACCGGAGCACCCGGAGGAAACCCACGCCAACACAGGGAGAACATGCAAACTCCACAAAGAAATGCCAACTGACCCAGCAGAGGCTCGAACCGGTGACCTTGCTGTGAGGCGATCGTGCTACCTACTGTGCCACTGTGACGCCCATTATTATTATTATTATTATTATTATTATTATTATTATTATTATTATCATAAATGTATTAGTATAATAAAATTTTTTTTTATGCATATAGTGTTTGCAGTTTATATTCCCATTTTTATATATATATATATATATATATATATATATATATATATATATATATATATATATATATATATATATAAATGTATATGTATATATATAAATAAATAAATGTATATATAAATAAATAAATGTGTATATATAAATAAATATATATATATATATATATATATATATATATATATATATATATAAATATATATATATATATATAAACTGATATTGCCACCTCCGGTACTACACCATATTTACAACAATATATTTGCATGAATCTCTGCAGATATTCCTCTGGAGGTGATAGAAGCTGCTTTCAGTGAAGGAGACGAATCCTCTGCATCTCCATCATCTCCATCCGCATCCACACAAATCCCAGACCGCACCACACCGTCCAATCAGCTTCCAAAGCCCAGCAGGGAATCCTGGGAAAACACTAAGCCACATTTAGCTCCTCGCAGTCATCAGAAAAATGATGATGATAACTTTTTCTCAGCATCCCAGAAGCTGCAGCCCACTTTGATTGGCTCCGGGTTTGAGGCGGCGTTCGGGATCAGCACATACACACACATGCCGGACTCTCGCTCTCCGTCCGCCCAGCGCAGGAATGCAGAGACGGCGCCAGCAGTGTCTGATGGAGGACGAGAGGATGGATGGAGAGATGATGATGATAATGAACATGAAAATGGTGACGTGTTTATGGAGGCTGAGAGAAGCGTCTCAATGCCGGTGCTTTCAGACATTCAGCCCAAACTACACTTCATGTCCACAGGTGAGTTTAGCAAATAATAACTTGCCCAATAAAAAAAAAAAATTACATAATATTTTGCATGTAATATTGTTTAAGACATGATATTAAACATAAATTAATAATAATAATAAAACATAATATGCTGTCAATTTGGCATGTTTGTTTTATGGTCTGTCTTTTTATTAACATTTAAGTGTGTCTAGTCATTCGTTAGAATTTATTTTTTAAAATACAATATGAAGATACACCCTCATACACAAAGCATTATATTTTGCATGTTGAAAAGCCTGATTGTAGTTTCTGTGCATTGTAAGATATTGATTATAATACTGATACTAATGATAAAATGTCATCATACACGGTAGATTAATTATACAAGAAAATTTAAAAATATTTTATGATCAAATTGATTATCCTGCCACAACAATGTTTTTTGTTGTTGTTAATAATAATAATTTTGCTATTTATGTTTTACCTCATGTCATCTTAATAATGACAAGACTAATTATAATTACAAAATAATCATTTGCATGTGAAATTAACATAATACAAGTGGAATCAATAATATATTTATTAAACTTAATATCCTGCCACAATAATGATTTATTATTATTATTATTATTATTATTATTATTATTATTATTAATATTAATGGGATATTACATATTACAATCAATGGAGTAATATTAATGTTTTATAATGTTTTATTATTATTATTATAAAACATTATTATTATTATTATTATTATTATTATTTTTATTCATGTAATATTACAATCAGTGGAGTAATATTAACGTTGTATGAATTAAGTATCCTACAACATTGGCAGTAATAATAATTAGGATTACTTAAATTATTGTATAATTTAATATATTCTAATTAACAAACATAATGCTTTATAAATATGTTTTTTATTTAAAAAATAAGCAACACTGTAAATAAATAAAGTACTATGACAAACAACTGCATTTAATGACCCAGAAATGTTTCACTTGCTTCAGTTTTTTTTTTTTTTTTTGCATTAACAATTATTTTCCTTGTGCAGAAGATGCCAGTTACCATCAAACTACACGAAACAACACCAGCAGCAGACATTTACCTGGAGGTAACACACACTTTCATATGCTTTCACACGGCAACACACTAAAACATTTTCTATTTAAAAGAACGCAAGCGTGAGGTTATAGTATGTCAATTACCCACTGTTATGCTGTAATCTGTTCTGTCCAATCAGAGCTGCTGTTGGAGGTGGGTGTGGAGGTTAGTCTGAAATCTTCATATCTTGAAGATGCGCCTTCACTCACATCTGCTCTGGACATCATGGTGAGCATAACAAAACACAGTCACATATTCACAGTTCTCATATTCAAGTCAGGGGTGTCTAAACGGGAAGTCCTGGAGAGTTTAGCTCCAGCCTTATTCAAACACACCTAAATTTCTTAGCAGGTGTGTTGAAGCAAGTTGGAGGACACTGGCTCTCCAGAATCAAGTTTGGATACTCCTGCTCTGGAGGTTCTTCTAGTTATCGTATATTCTAGAGCTTGTTTAACAATTTAAGTTCCTGAAAAATGTTGACGTATGCAGCACAATGAAGAATAATTAACTTGTTAGTTAACCTTGATTTAATTGAGAAAAGTACAAACAAAAGATTTCCTTTATCTTCTCTGACTATTTACATTGTATCCTGTAAATATGAGCACATTTTAATTGACATTTCGATAACTGCAACACTCTAAATAATAAGTGTTTAACAGTGTCACGTCCGCTGCCCTTTAAAGTCTGAGTGAGCAAGAAGTTGCTGCAGACTTTTATTTTTTTTATAGTGGGACGTATCTTCAACTGAAATGAAATATTAAGCTTGGGGTGGGGTTTATTCTTTAGCTCCTCCTCTTATTTCTTAACTGAAAACAAGCAAAGGGGAAAGTAAATGATGACTTATTATTATTTTTTATTTATTTTATTTTACTTCCTGCTATTAAAAGGGCTACTTAAAAAAAAAAAAAAAAACGGTACTCGCCCTATGCTTGTTTTTAATCATGCTGAACCCCATATAAGATATTCTGAAGAATGCTGGAAACCTGTAACCATTGACATTATTCCTACAATGGAAGTCAATGGTTACCGGTTTCAAACATTATTCAAAATATCTTCTTTTTTTTATTTTTGGGTGAACTATCCCTTTTGCAAAATACACAAAATAACCTTTTCAGAATCTGTCTTGTAGATATTCAGACTGTTACTGTCATCCAGCAACTTTTGGCCTCCTCTTTTGTTTGTTTGCAGATACGAGACGCATTTGTCTCTCCCCCTCTGAAGATGTTGGACTTTAAAAGACTGAAGAAGTGAGTGTGTAGTGAGCTGATCTTGTTGATCTGCAGACGTTCTGACTGTGTGTGTTTTCAGGTTGAGTTCTGGTGTGTTGTTCATCGTGTGGCTGTGGTTGGAGAAGACATCGGTGGAGGATCTTCAGTCAGCCCTGCAGGAGCTTCTTCAGCTTCACCACAAAACTGTCAAATCACAAACCAGCGACACTCAGGGGCTCATTGTGTCCATTTCCACTGAAGGTACACATACACACACACACACATTCACTTACACACACTCTTAAAGCTGGATTTATATTTTCGCCTGGCACCGCATCGCACACCTCCGTTGACTGTGCACGTACCTCGCGAAACCGACGAGGCTTTTATATTCGCCGTGTGATATTCTATAAAACAACAGAGGGCAGTCTAAAGAAACCGTAAAATCAGACAGATGAACAGAAAAGTAGGAAGTTTCCGGAACTACGTCGTCATATTAATATCATTCAACATTTTTAAGCCAATTATGTTTATTATTTTTATAAATTAAAAACCTATGACTGGTGGAATAACATTTCTGTAATTGTGTACTTGGGTCTCCTCTTTTGCATGGCCTCTTTTGGCTTTACTAAACGTATCCTTCAGGTTTTTACAGCACTTTTAACAAAAACTTTCCTCTTTCCCCATTGTTATTGCAATTTCTAGCCAAGAATTATTGATCATCAGGTTATCTCTATGATCACGGATCATAAAGATGTGTGTACAGTCATACTGTTTCAGACAAAATCTCTTCAAAGTGTTGCGTACTTCACTCACATCAGTTGTGGCGCGTGGACTGTTTGCTCGTATCTCAAAAAAATCATGCGCTCCGCCAGCCAAAATCATGTGGCGCACACTCAAACCAGGCTTAAGGCTGGTTTATACTTGAGGCTGAGTACATGCATGCTCTGGCGCAGCCTTCACACGGTCACATAGTCCCATGGTTCCCAATCTTTTGATGTTGTTTTCAAACAAACATGTTTATTACTATATCTAGATATGTTTATGCACAAATAATTGCCTGATGTAAAATATACTGTAAAAGCAAAACATCAGTAGGCCATTTGTCACTGAAAAACCTAAGCCTTTACATTGGCCCTATATTGCACTTCAATCACCGTCTGGTTCGGCTCAGCTGCCAAAACCAACCTCTGTAGACTACTAAAGTGAATAATCTGGACTGCTGAACTGGCACTACACTTCAAGAACTGTACTCTTCCAGAGTGAGTAAATGGGCTCGCAAAATCATTCTGGACGCCTCGCACCCAGCACAATTCCTGTTCGAACTATTACTGTCTGGTCGGCGCTTCAGAGCACCAAGCACAAAAACAGCCAGACACAGGAAAAGTTTCTTTCCTCAGGCCATCTAGCTCATGAACAGTTAAACATTCCCCAGCTGTGCAATAAATATGTGCAATACTTTCTCATATGCACTTGTACACAGCACCTTATATCAATATATAATGCAATACTTTCTCCAGTCACATTTGCTCACAGTACCGTATTACCTGTATATTTGACAAATCTGTACATACAACTCAACATCCAGATTTCTTGACTAACTGCATCTGTTTAATGTTTATCTCATTTGTTTTCCATATTTATTTTGTTCTGACATTAAGTACACTAGAAGCTTCTGTAGCCAAAACAAATTCCTTGTGTGTGTGAAGCACACTTGGCAATAAAACTGATTCTGATTAGTTGCCAATTTTTTAAAGGTTTCTTGTCTGTGGCTGTGACGTCCCTCATCTCGTTTTGATTGTGTGTCAATTCTTTTTCCTTGTGCTCAAAAAAATGCTCTGGGCTTGTCGTGGTATTGGGGATGAGCTCTCTTATTCACATTAAGGCAAATAATTCCATTAATGATGTCCCATGTACACAAGGTCTGATCCAGTGCCTGTGCACTTTAAAAACAAAACAACAGTTTCTATGATTTACATTTACATTTAGTCCTTTAGCAGACGCTTTTATCCAGAGTGAAAGGGAAGCAATTTACACAACTATAAGAGCAACAATGAATAAGTGCTGTAGGCAAGTTTCAGGTATGTAAAGTCCAAGAAGGAAAGCATTAGTAATGTAAGAATTAATTAATTTATTTATTTGAGTACAGTTAGTGGTATATCCAGAGAGGCAATTGCAGATTAGGAAGTGAAGTGGAGACTAAATAGTTGAGTTTTTAGTCGTTTCTTGAAGACAGCGAGTGACTCTGCTGTTCTGATGCAGTTAGGGAGTTCATTCCACCAACTGGGCAGATTGAATGCGAGAGTTCGGGAAAGTGATTTCTTCCCTCTATGGGATGGAACCACAAGACGATGTTCATTCACTGAATGCAAGTTTCTGGAGGGCACATAAATGTGCAGAAGTGAGAGCAGATAAGAAGGAGCAAAGACAGAAGTCGCTTTGTAGGTAAACATCAGAGCTTTGAATTTGATGCGAGCAGCAACTGATAATCTGAGGGACAACATACCTAATTAACAAATCTTTACTATTAAACAGAATCAAGTAAATAGAGCTGTGGTGAGAAATACCCTTCTGTGTGCGTGTGTGTTTTGAACAGACATCAATGAGTGTGAGACTCATATGGTGGTGTGCGACGCTGACGCCGAGTGTGTGAATCAGTTTGGATCCTACTCCTGTCGCTGTCTGCATGGTTACAGAGAGGCTCATGGGAATGGAGAGAGCATTTGTGTAAAACCTGCTGCACCTGGTAAGACTTTTTAATCCATTCTTTCAGCTGATTTAAAGGGAAGGCTTACACCACCGGTCACCAATCCTGGTCCTGGAGGGCCGGTGTCCCTGCAGGGTTTAGCTCCATCTTGCCTCAACACACCTGCCTGGGTGTTTCAAGTATACCTAGTAAGACCTTGATTAGCTTGTTCAGGTGTGTTTGATTAGGGTTGGAGCTAAAATCTGCAGGACACCGGCCCTCCAGGAACAAGTTTGGTGACCACTGGCTTACACAAACCTGAATATTCTGTCAGCATTTACCTGTTTCAAAGCAGTTCGAGCTGAACACAAAAGAAGATATTTTGAGGAAAGATGAAAACTTGACTGTTCAAGGACTATTGACTTCCATTGTAGGAAAAACATCTGGAAGTCAGTGGTTGGTGGCTTCATCATTCTTCATAATATCTTCTTTTGTGTTCAACAGAAGAAATAAACTCAAAGGTTTATAACCACTTGGGGGAGAGTAAGCAGTTTTTGGGGGGTGAACTGTCCCTTTAAATAGATTTTCGCTCCCCCATTGATTCTCTGATTGCCTTTCTTTGTGGACAGTTTTTATTTTGATGTAGTGAGATGACAAGAGTACAGTATTTCAGACGAAAAGTTACAGTTTTATCTGCAATCAATCTTTTTTACAATAATAATATTATTAATAATAATAATACATTTTGTATACTTAGTAAACAAATTAAATAATGTTACATGTATTTGTTTAACATAAAAATAACACGTATGTATGTATATTTATAGTTTCCATAATAATTTATTTTACAATAATAATTGTAACGGTTCGGAGAGGTCAGATATATATATATATATATATATATATATATATATATATATATATATATATATATATATATATATATATATATATATATATATACTTAGAAATCAAATTCTATATTAAATCAATTTTGAAAAATGTACATGATGAAAAATGTTTTATATAATACTGTTATTAATACTAATAATGCAAATGTAATCTCAAACTATATATTAAATCAATTTCTATATTAAATAAATAATGTTACTTTATTTTGTTTAACATAATAACTACATCATTTTTAAAATAATATTATTAATGATTTTAATAGTTCAGAGAGGTCAAATATATACTTAGTAATCAAATTCAATAATAAATAATGCCAAATATGTGATGATAACCAAATAACATTTATTTTATAATGTCAATAATAAGTTTGACAGTTTGGGGAAGTCGGATATATACTCCGTTTTCATTATGTATTTTTCTTTTATTTAATATGAAATTTGATTACAATTTTGTCATATAATACTATTTGTAATCAAATTCCGTATTAACTAAAAATGTTAAATGTTTTTGTTTTAGTATAATTATATCTATTTTTTCATAATATTAATAATAATTGAAATGGTTCGGAGAAGTCAGATATATACTTGGTAATCAAGTTCCATATTAAATCAATAATGGTATTTTTTTTTACATGATAAAAACAAAATAAGATTTATTTTATTAATTTTAACAGTTTGGGGAGATCTGATATATACTTGGTAATCAATTTACATTTTAAATAATGTTATACATTTTTTGTTTAACATAACTATATAACAATCTTTAAATAATAATGATAATAATTTCATTGGTTCGGAGAGGTCAGAGAAATCAAGTTCTATATTACAGTTTTTGTCAGTCACTTCGGTGCATTTCTCAGATCAGAATTGAAATTTTCAACTCCCTGTTCAATCTTCACATCACGGTGTCACTTGTGCACATCAGAAAAGCAGTTTCTTATTCCTTTGAACAAGTTGCAAATACTTTTGTACATCCATGCAAATGGTCTACTAGTCTTCACATGCACAATGGCTGAACACGTGGTCATAATATTTTGTCATAAGGATTTTTCTTTATATTTCCTTTAGAGTTTTTGTTCTAAATCCATCTACAGTTGGTCAGTTTCTCCCAGGTGAAGCTTGACTTTTTCTAATGAAGGTGCATCTGAAAAGAGATTCATACAGCATATTCATATTTCTACTTTTGTTGTTTTTCTTTGTTTTGCAGTGCTGTCTTTTCCTTTCAGTCTCACAATGACTAAGCCAAGAAATTACAGTACAAAGAGCAAAAACATAAATAAGTAAACTACCCATAGTTGATATCAGAACAGCTCTCCAGAGTCCACTGTTGTATTGACAACATGGCTAAGTAATTTGACTGCTTTATGCATACACAAGAACATACACTGACGCATTCATTGACACTGAAATGTAGTTTTGAGAGATGAACTAAGGGTTTTGAGCAAGAGACTGGAGTTTGCAGATCATCCATGCTGTTTTGCTATTTGCATGCGTTTTGATAAATGCACTTACTGTTTTGCAAATTTCAGTTCTGATCTGAGAAATGAACCAAAGCGACTGAGAAAAGCTGTATAATTGTAAAAGCAAAAACACTATTATTTTATATTATGAATATTAAGTTTAACAGTTTGAGGAGGTCAGATATATACTTGGGAATCTAATTTCATATTAAAGCAATTTTTAAAATTCTACACAATGAGCTTTTACATGCCACTATTATACATCAAATTCCTTATTAACTAAATCTTATTAAAAACATTTTCGGTCACACTTTACAATAAGGTTCATTAGTTAATGTTAATTAATGCATTTACTAACATGAACAAACAATGAACAATACATTTACTACTGTATTTGTTCATGTTAGTAAATGTTAGTTAATGAAAATACAGTAGTTCATTGTTAGTTCATGTTAACTCATGGTGCATTAACAAATGTTAACAAGCATGGACTTGGATGTCAATAATGCATTAGTAAATATTCAATTATGATGAATAAATGCTGTACAAGTGTTGTTCATGATTAGTTCATGTTAGTAAATGCATTAACTAATGAACCTTATTGTAAAGTGTTACCACATTTTCTAGTAATATTAGTCTTCAGTAATAAATAGTAATAATACAGATCTTTTTTATAATATTAAATAATCATTTTACTGTTTGTGAAGATCTGATATATTCATATTTACTACTCAACTTCCATATTAAATGTTAAATGTGTTTCAGTCTATGGTAGAGGAGAACGTCTGTTCGTTTCCTGAGTGTAAAGGATGCGTCTCATTGCATTTCATACTCTTTCTAGACTGTAGTGGGATGACATCATCTCCATCATCGGCAGCAGCATCTCCCACAATCCTCCGGGGCGTTTATGCCGTCTGCGGGCTGCTCCTGTTGCTCATCCTGCTGTCTCTGCTGGTCCTCTTATATCTGTACCGGCGGTATCATCGAGGGAAATTCATGCTGCACTGCCATAAAGCCAGCGCTCGCAGTGTTGTGGAAAACACCAACAACAATAACACTGGAAATGATGACCCGTCCATATTCCCTCCTCCACCTCCTCCACCCCCACCCATGAGGATGCCCAGAGACGGGCCGCGCTCAATGGACCTTCCCTTACTGCGCTTCAGCTCTCTGGTGCCCTCTGATGGCTTCAGGAGTAAAATACACAGTGAGAAATCTCAGCTCTGAGTCTCTCCACTGCACTGATGTACGTGTGCTGAGGAGATCTTGATTGATCTGTGTGTGATTGTGGTGTATTTTGGGGTGAATAATTGACTTGTTTATGGTTTGCTCTTGTATTTTGGTTGACAGAAGACTTTGACTCTTAAAAATAGAACTGAACGCAACTCCAAACGTGCTCTTGGTACTTTTACTTTGGTTTTAATGTCAGAAATGTGTGATGGTGTTCAGTGTTGCTTTAACACAGGGGTCACCAACCTTTATGAAACTGAGAGCTACTTCTTGGGTACCGATTAATGTGGAGGGCTACCAGTTTGATAAACACTTCTCAAATAACAAATTTGCTCAATTTACTTTTAATTATACTTTGTTTTTGGTAATAATTAATGATGTTCATCCATGTGAAGATACTGAACATGTTAATGATTCTCAAAGTTATCAACAATGATTTAACAGGGTAGGAAATACCATGTTTTTAATGTATCAATGTGCAACACTTTATTTTTATATATCTCTGCAAATATTTACATTTTTAAATGATTACTTCTATATTAGATGAAGCTTACTGGTAAGTGGTGCTATGGTGAGCTATTTTTAGAACAGGCCTGTGGGCAACACATGTGATCCTCCATGTTGGTGACCCCTGCTTTAACATTTCTGATGACAGCACATTTCCTGGGACAAAAACTGCACCATTATGATTTTACATTACTTTTTTTTTTTACTCGTTTTGCCACACATTTCAGAACCCTGATGTCAATTTTCAAAACTCCAGACACAAAATTTACAACCACCATTACCAAATTTGCACGTTTTTGCAAAACTCTGAACTCTCTTTTTATTTATTTTTTGCAACACACTGGGCAAAAATACTGTTCACTGAACTAAACCCATCTTTTCAATAGAATACATATTGTTGGAATATCAAGCCAAATCTATGCATGTTCAATAGGAAAAGGTCTGGAGAGGGTTTCCTTCAATGCCAAAAATATTACATTTACATTTAGTCATTTAGCAGACGCTTTTATCCAAATCGACCTACAAATGAGGACAAGGAAGCAACTTACACAGAGGCAATTAGAGGCAATTGCAGATTAGAAGGTGAAGTGGAGACTAAATAGTTGAGTTTTTAGTCATTTCTTGAAAATAGCGAGTGACTGCTGTTCTAATGCAGTTAGGGAGTTCATTCCACCAACTGGGCAGATTGAGCGTGAGCGTGAGCGAAAGTGATTTCTTCCCTCTTTGGGATGGAACCACGAGGCGACGTTCATTGACAGAACGCAAGTTTCTGGAGGGCACATAAATGTGCAGAAGTGAGAGCAGATTAGTGATTTATTAGTGATTTATTTGATAATAATGAATAATTCGATGACAGAGCTCTAAGTTACATTACGCCAATGCACCCACAAGAATTACAATCAAGAGGTTCGCAACTAACTTACATTTCCTGACTCCAGCATATATATATATATATACACAACCAGGGCTTGACACAAACTTTTTTGATCACCAGCCACTGTGGCGAGTAGATTTCCAACATTACTAGCCACTCGCCATTTTCACTAGCCACACTTTTTTTTTTTTTTTGGGGAAAATATATTTTATATGCATAAATTTGACTTTGAATTGCTAAAATGACTTGATTTAGATGTTGTGTTATGTCTACAACATGCCTACTCATTCATTTACCTTGTGTGTATTGTGTATTAGCTTGCTCGGTGTGCACGAGCAAATGGGTTGTCACATTGTAATCAGTTTTTATTTCACATGACTTTTTAGGGCTCAAAATTAAGGATTTACCAAATTTATCTCTGACTGCACCAAATGAGTATTTCTTAGCCACACATTTTTAATGTGTCAAAACAAAGAAAATATAGCTTTATAGGTGCACTTTTAATTCAACAAAACTTTTCTATTAAAAAAAATTCAATTTACAAAGGAAGTATTGTCATGTATCTAAATTATGCAGAGTTATCTGTCCTGGCTAAAAGTCCCAGATCAGCAGTTAACTGCACTTAAACGGGGAGTAATCTCCCATTAAAGCAATGATTTTGTAAAAAATATGATTAAACCATATTAACAAAAATAACAGTAAGCAAAAGAATGCAGGTGAAACACACCGTGTGATGATGAAAGGATGATCACATGCACACGGTTAATATAGGCCTGTTAATCTGTTCAGAGAATAATTAAAATGAAAGCAGTGATTGCTTCTGCTTACAAAAGTTTTTTTTTTTTTTTTTTTTCTAAATCTTGAGCTCTGGAAAGCAGCAGGCCTGTGAGTGCAAGATCATCCCTCGTTCATCGCGTCCAGTCTATTTTAAAGGGAACAGGTCGCACCAGTTGCACTTCCTCTAGGCATGGGATTCGCAGAAGTAAACGGGAGCGTGCACGCTTTTTATCAGTCGCACGCATCACATCAGCTGTGCGCGCGCGAGTGATTATCCTCTCGTTCGGTATTTACCTACTTTTTTTTTGCTGTTTTGCTTGTGCGAACAGTTATTTTTGTCAGTCATGCTGTTTCTCGATTCTAACATCACATTTGCTCGAATTTTGGGCCATGCTTATTGTCGAACTCTGTCTGTCTAACCCGCCAGAGCTGAAATCTACCCGCACTTGGTGGGTGTTAATGTAAAGCCCTGTACACAACTGATATAACAGGTGGAGTATTGGTTTAACGTCACTTATCAGTGGTTCTGCAGTCCTTTGGCTCTTAATTGTACCCCTGACATACTTCCTCTTTCTGCAACCCTTCTCTGGATACCAGAACTGAACAATTACGTGCATCTTTAATATTTTTCACAACTTCTACAAGCATCATGCTCCATGTGACATGTCTAGACTTTGTATTAAACAGCAGTCTAGAGCAGTCAAGAGCCCCCACACTATATTTATTCGGTCACACTTTACAATAAGGTTCATTAGTTAATGTTAATTAATGCATTTACTAACATGAACAAACAATGAACAATACATTTACTACTGTATTTGTTCATGTTAGTTAACTTGAGTTAACATGAACTAACAATGAACTACAGTATTTTCATTAACTAATGCATTATTAACATCCAAGTCCATGCTTGTTAACATTAGTTAATGCACCATAAGTAAATGTTTAATTATGATTAATAAATGCTGTACATGTGTTGTTTATGATTAGTTCATATTAGTAAATGCATTAACTAATGAACCTTATTGTAAAGTGTTACCATTTATTCTTATTCTACTACCTCCCTCTTGTCAGCAGTTCCTTCTAAAAGTATACAGGACAGTAAAAAAAGTAGCAGTGTGCCTGTTCAATATATGGTATCATACAAAAGAAAAAGATTGATTAATCTGGTGTAAGTCTAAACATTTTTCTATTAAAAATAAAGACACAAAAGTAACAAGAATAAATTCCCTTTTCCGATCCCATTTTAAAATGCAGCTCACACATTACATTTGAAATAACCATGGTTACATTTAATCACCACAATGTAACTATCAACTGATACAAGCGCTCAAAATGATAAATAACTGCTGCATTACTCCTTTCCACCACTGTTCAGAATACTGGAAAATCAGACTCAAGTAAAAGTTCCACTATTTGCCTAAAATGAGTGATATTTACAACAGATACTTGCACTACAAAGTATGAGTAAAAGGTAGACCTTTCAAAAGTAGTGAGTATTACGCTGTGAAAAGCTGATGCAGTTGCATGTAATTTGTGGATGTGTGTGAACAAACATTCTGTAGTGCATTTAGTTATTGCCCAGCAGGCACGCAACGCCAATGTTAATATTAAGTTAGATTTAGGTTGTGATGTCAGGTGACCAAAACTCAATGACTAGACAGTTGCTAAGGACAACGTTATTTAGATGATGCAAACTAAAATCAATGTATTTTGATGTCATTATTTGACAAGCCAACATACTAAACCAACATCATATACTGACGTTTATTCGTCAAGTATGGCAACCAAAATCCAACATCTGATGTCATAGTGGCCACATCCACACAATGTCAAGCTGTAACATCATTAGACATTGATATTTGGTTGATTTTAGGTTGAACATTGATATTTGGTTGATTTTAGGTTGAACATTGATATTTGGTTGATTTTAGGTTGGACATTGACGTTGGATTCTGATGTCGACCCAAACAACATTTCCAAACAAAATGCAACATCCACGACATTGGGGTAAACCGTCAATCTGACATCATGTTGACATCTTGTACTGCTGGGTGTTTAAGGCCATTTCGGTCATCATACAGTAAACATCCGTCATTTTTTCATCAGTGACATGCATCTTGTCTCTGGTTCAATACTTGTAAAGATTTTGGGCATCTTCTTAGACACTTATAATGAACTACCTCAAGACATGGGTGATTTATAAGGAAAGTTTTACCTTCTATGTGTGTGACCCTAATAAAAAGGGAGGTATTTCTCATATACATATGTTTATTTTTTCCTTATTTCTGTTTAACGGAGGTTTTTCAACACATTTTTAATAATAACAGTTTTAATAACTCATCTCTAATAACTGATTTATTTTATCTGTGTCATGATGACAGTAAATAATATTTGACTAGATATTCTTTAAAACACTTCTATACAGCTTAAAGTGACATTTAAAGGCTTAACTAGGTTAATTAGGTTAACTAGTAGGCAGGTTAGGGTAATTAGGCAAGTTATTATATAACGATAGTTTGTTCTGTAGACTATCGAACAAAAATATAGCTTAAAGGGGCTAATAATATTGACCCTAAAATGGGTTTTTAAAAATTAATAACTGCTTTTATTCTAGCTGAAATAACACAAATAAGACTTTCTCATGAAGAAAAAATATTATCAGACTATCATTAGAATACCTAAAAATTCTCCTGGAGGAAGATTTAGGTGTTGAAATCACAGATGAGCAAAGGGAGCTTTACACAGATTATCGATATGCGCAGGGCCTCATACAATTTAAATCAGTACATTTTTTACATTGGTCCAAACAAAAATTTAGTAAGATATTTCCAGAAGTGGCCTGTGCATGTAATCGGTGTGGTCTAGAACCGCCATCACTGGCTTGTTTTGGAGCTGCCTAAACTGAGAATGTTAGAAAAATATTTTCCCAGTAAGATGATCAAAAACTGATAGATCCAGATCCTGTATAGCAGTTCTTGCCATCATTGATTTGGAGATAGTACAGAACAAAATATAAGCCCAACTGTCTGTTTTTAGCTGTCTACAAGCACGAAGGTTAACATTATGAAACTGGAAACAGAAAACTGCTCCTACATATATACATCTATTGAGAGATGTAATGAAACATTTGAAAGTGGAGAAAATCAGATTCTCCCTATTAAAAATATAAAAATAAAAAATTTCTATCAAATCTGGATTTTTTAAAAACATAAATTCAGCAAGAAATAGTTAAATTGAAGAGGATTAGATTAAAACAAATTAAGTCGGCGCAATAGCCTTGTGGTTAGCACGCTGACATATGGTGCAGCAGCACTTCAGGGCATCTCAACTTTTAATTCCATCTCGAGGACATTTCCCGTCCCTACCCCCCCTCTCTCTCCCAATTCGCTTTCTGTCTGTAATACTGTCCTATCCACTTAATAAAGACAAAAAGGGGCAAAAATAAATCAAAAAAATTTTTTTTTAATTTATTTATTTCATTATTTTATTTTTGTATTTTTTTATTGTAATAGTCTATTATTACTATACTCATGTATAGATTGTTTGAATGTCTAAAAAACAAAGAAACTTACAAATTGGGTTTGTAAAAACAAACATTCACACCACAATTGATAATAAAACATACAATATACAAACAAAGGACGTTTAAAAAAACCTGCACAATGCAAACATTTAATCTTTAAAACATTAAAGTTCCGATGAAAATTCAAAGTGGAGACGATGAGAGTAGGTCACTTATGTGTTTATTAAAATGTATTTAATTTTTGGAAATAACTATCTTCTAAAAAGCCATCAGTTTTTAGCCATGGGGTTTTACGTTAGATTCTCCCCACAGCATTAGCATCATTTGCAACAGATTGATTTCATGGCACAAGACTAAACTTTAACACTTTTATGGTCCTAAGATACATTAAACATAAATGCAGACAGAACATGGAGGATGATCTCAAAGAGGCGGTCTCCAAAATTAAACCAACAATAGACTTGTGCTGTAAACGTTGTGCTGACCCGTCTCATAAGGTGAGGGTCATATTAAATTGAATAAATCACTACAAAAATGATATAGTTATTGCACTTATTTGTGTTGTGAAAATGATCATGTTTATATAGGCACATTGGGGTGTGTGTGTGTCAACATTAGTTTCTAACAAGCTCTGAAAAACAGTGGGGGTCATGAGTAGGCCCACACAGAATCTGTGCGCTGAATTCTGTAGATGTTTAGCCCACCATTGATTGTTTATTTACTTGCGTAAATGTGTCAATTTAAATTTATTGTTTTTAAATAATTACAGTAATATTATTGACTAAAATGAAAAATGATTTATTTACAATACAGTTTGTAAAGTCATATTTTCTATCTTTTAGTAGATATATGAGTGACTTGCGAATAAAGCAGATCTAATAAAATTAGCATAGTAAACATTCAATAACAGTTAAAATGGTATTACTATTTATTTTATATATTAAGGTTTTAGTTATGATATTCTGTAAAATCATTCCGCATAAATCCGCAGATTTTTAACAAAATTCTGTGCAGAAACAGCAAAAAAATGTCCACAGATTCTGTCTGGCCCTAGTCGTAGTTATTTTAGGGGTCGTAGGCTGAAAGGTTTGGGGACCCCTGAGCCAGTGTGCTCCAAAACAGTGACAATATTCACGTTCATAAGGTATAGGCTGATAGAAACATGTAAAGCTAAAGGTTTGTCACATCCAGCAATATCTGGCAACTCATACTGGTTTCTCATCAAATCTTGACCAATCATATACTCTCTCTAGCATCTGACATGTCCCACCCGCTTTAAGACACTTTTCTTTTTAATGCACATGAGCTCAACTGGTTGAGTTGTAGAAAAAACTTCACAAATCGCAAGATGACTAAGTTTACTACTTTGTTTACTTATATGTGACAGTGATATGATTTTGCCAGATTGTTTGAAATGTAACCTGCACCAAAGATCTTCAAAAGTCTCTGACGTAAACTCTATAATGTTCTCATAAAAATGAGAACCGTCTTATTTATAATGCGTCTCTTTAGTTGAAACTAAACACTGCTAAATGTTTATACGAGGAGCAGTATGCCATATGGGCTCTTAACACCTGAGCAGTGCCACAGATACACAAGTCTTACGTCTTGAATGGAATTAGAATATCTTCATCAAGGGATTTCACTAGTTAAATGACCAGCACTGTTACATGGTAGGTTTAACACCCAGTGGTTTAACTAGGTATTACACTCCTAGTTCAAAACACTTTTATACTCAGCCAGTCCTCTGATGACTCCACACAACATTGACACATCAAAACGGCGCAAGTTTTTGTCCAGACCAACCTGATATTTCTATTTTAGAAACAGATTCTAATTCTCACAGCCTAACAACAGGGTAAACTATGACAATAATCACCTCAAGTGATTTATTCACTGTTAAATGCTAATAATGTGAGCTTGAATGTCATTTGACGTGACAGTGCAGATAGAGGCATGTTAATGGCTGAGCTCTACAGGTTTTAAAGTTATTCCATCATCTGTCTAGCTGAGGAGCTTGATGGCCTCTCCAGTTCTGCATTGAGGAAATGTCCATCTACTGCATAGTAGTGGAGAGAGACATCTCCATTGGACTACTCGCAGTCTGGTCCTTCTGCACTGGAATTGACCCACTGGAGTGCTGATCTTAAACTCTGAGCCTCCATCTCTACAGCCTGACAGCGCTAGCTAAACCCACTGATCTGAATCAACAATGTCAGCCAAGACTGACACACAGGGAGGAGATGAAGGTTTTGTCCAGATGAATTAGAAACTGATGTTCAGCCTAGAGAAAAAAAAATAGAAAAAAGAAAGTAAGTGATGGTATTTATTAAAGCTTGTTAACCTTAACAATGGTCTTTTATTATTTAGTTACTATTTAGTTTAAAAGTCTTGACCATTTCACTAAACTCCTTTCTAAATCAGCACACATTCAACCCATTAAGAGCACATCAGCTACCTAAAAAAATCAGCACATGTACGGCCACCTGACCAACAAGAGGACCCAGGGTCCAACTGACCAGTCAGAGCACACAGGGGAACCTGACCGATCAGAGCACCCTGGCACTGCGTCCTAACTTTGCACGAAATGGCGCCGCGGCACGCAATAAAAGCGATATTTTTTCGGAGTTAAAAGGGGTTTTCGCGCTAAGCATCGTCTTGACGCCATGCGTGACATTTCTATTTTTAGACGCAGCTTCTATTTCGGCAACAACGCAGCAGGGCGCATGGTTAAGTTGCATCACCTGCTTTGGGTCCAACTGACCAGTAAATTTGCACGATACGGCGCCGCGGAACGCAGTAAAAGCGACCTTTTTTTCGGAGTTAAAAGGGGTTTTTGCGCTAAGCATCGCGATGACGCCATGCATGACATTTCGATTTTAGACATCGTTTCTATTTCTGCAACAAGGCAGCAGGGCGCATGGTTAGGTTGCGTCACCTGCGTTGCAAGGGCACGGTTTGAGGCACTTGACCAGCCAGTGCACACAGCTGCCTCCTGACCAATCAGAGCACCCCAGGCCAACCAGCCGATCAGGACAGCACATCAGCTTTCAGATTAATAAGCGCACGTACGGCCCATAAAGAGCACATCAGCTATCAGATTAATCAGCGCACGTACGGCCACCTGACCAGCCAGAGGACCCAGGGTCCAACTGACCAGTCAGAGCACACAAGGCAACCTGACCGATCAGAGCACCCTGGCACTGCGTCCTAACTTTTTTCGGCGACAACGCAGCAGGGCGCATGGTTAGGTTGCATCACCTGCTTTGGGTCCAACTGACCAGTAAATTTGCACGATACGGCGCCGCGGCACGCCATAAAAGCGATATTTTTTCGGAGTTAAAAGGGGTTTTCGCGCTAAGCATCGTCTTGACGCCATGCGTGACATTTCTATTTTTAGACGCAGCTTCTATTTCGGCAACAACGCAGCAGGGCGCATGGTTAAGTTGCATCACCTGCTTTGGGTCCAACTGACCAGTAAATTTGCACGATACGGCGCCGCGGAACGCAGTAAAAGCGACCTTTTTTTCGGAGTTAAAAGGGGTTTTTGCGCTAAGCATCGCGATGACGCCATGCATGACATTTCGATTTTAGACATCGTTTCTATTTCTGCAACAAGGCAGCAGGGCGCATGGTTAGGTTGCGTCACCTGCGTTGCAAGGGCACGGTTTGAGGCACTTGACCAGCCAGTGCACACAGCTGCCTCCTGACCAATCAGAGCACCCCAGGCCAACCAGCCGATCAGGACAGCACATCAGCTTTCAGATTAATAAGCGCACGTACGGCCCATAAAGAGCACATCAGCTATCAGATTAATCAGCGCACGTACGGCCACCTGACCAGCCAGAGGACCCAGGGTCCAACTGACCAGTCAGAGCACACAAGGCAACCTGACCGATCAGAGCACCCTGGCACTGCGTCCTAACTTTTTCGGCGACAACGCAGCAGGGCGCATGGTTAGGTTGCATCACCTGCTTTGGGTCCAACTGACCAGTAAATTTGCACGATACGGCGCCGCGGCACGCCATAAAAGCGATATTTTTTCGGAGTTAAAAGGGGTTTTCGCGCTAAGCATCGTCTTGACGCCATGCGTGACATTTCTATTTTTAGACGCAGCTTCTATTTCGGCAACAACGCAGCAGGGCGCATGGTTAAGTTGCATCACCTGCTTTGGGTCCAACTGACCAGTAAATTTGCACGATACGGCGCCGCGGAACGCAGTAAAAGCGACCTTTTTTTCGGAGTTAAAAGGGGTTTTTGCGCTAAGCATCGCGATGACGCCATGCATGACATTTCGATTTTAGACATCGTTTCTATTTCTGCAACAAGGCAGCAGGGCGCATGGTTAGGTTGCGTCACCTGCGTTGCAAGGGCACGGTTTGAGGCACTTGACCAGCCAGTGCACACAGCTGCCTCCTGACCAATCAGAGCACCCCAGGCCAACCAGCCGATCAGGACAGCACATCAGCTTTCAGATTAATAAGCGCACGTACGGCCCATAAAGAGCACATCAGCTATCAGATTAATCAGCGCACGTACGGCCACCTGACCAGCCAGAGGACCCAGGGTCCAACTGACCAGTCAGAGCACACAAGGCAACCTGACCGATCAGAGCACCCTGGCACTGCGTCCTAACTTTTTCGGCGACAACGCAGCAGGGCGCATGGTTAGGTTGCATCACCTGCTTTGGGTCCAACTGACCAGTAAATTTGCACGATACGGCGCCGCGGCACGCCATAAAAGCGATATTTTTTCGGAGTTAAAAGGGGTTTTCGCGCTAAGCATCGTCTTGACGCCATGCGTGACATTTCTATTTTTAGACGCAGCTTCTATTTCGGCAACAACGCAGCAGGGCGCATGGTTAAGTTGCATCACCTGCTTTGGGTCCAACTGACCAGTAAATTTGCACGATACGGCGCCGCGGAACGCAGTAAAAGCGACCTTTTTTTCGGCGTTAAAAGGGGTTTTTGCGCTAAGCATCGCGATGACGCCATGCATGACATTTCGATTTTAGACATCGTTTCTATTTCTGCAACAAGGCAGCAGGGCGCATGGTTAGGTTGCGTCACCTGCGTTGCAAGGGCACGGTTTGAGGCACTTGACCAGCCAGTGCACACAGCTGCCTCCTGACCAATCAGAGCACCCCAGGCCAACCAGCCGATCAGGACAGCACATCAGCTTTCAGATTAATAAGCGCACGTACGGCCCATAAAGAGCACATCAGCTATCAGATTAATCAGCGCACGTACGGCCACCTGACCAGCCAGAGGACCCAGGGTCCAACTGACCAGTCAGAGCACACAAGGCAACCTGACCGATCAGAGCACCCTGGCACTGCGTCCTAACTTTTTCGGCGACAACGCAGCAGGGCGCATGGTTAGGTTGCATCACCTGCTTTGGGTCCAACTGACCAGTAAATTTGCACGATACGGCGCCGCGGCACGCCATAAAAGCGATATTTTTTCGGAGTTAAAAGGGGTTTTCGCGCTAAGCATCGTCTTGACGCCATGCGTGACATTTCTATTTTTAGACGCAGCTTCTATTTCGGCAACAACGCAGCAGGGCGCATGGTTAAGTTGCATCACCTGCTTTGGGTCCAACTGACCAGTAAATTTGCACGATACGGCGCCGCGGAACGCAGTAAAAGCGACCTTTTTTTCGGAGTTAAAAGGGGTTTTTGCGCTAAGCATCGCGATGACGCCATGCATGACATTTCGATTTTAGACATCGTTTCTATTTCTGCAACAAGGCAGCAGGGCGCATGGTTAGGTTGCGTCACCTGCGTTGCAAGGGCACGGTTTGAGGCACTTGACCAGCCAGTGCACACAGCTGCCTCCTGACCAATCAGAGCACCCCAGGCCAACCAGCCGATCAGGACAGCACATCAGCTTTCAGATTAATAAGCGCACGTACGGCCCATAAAGAGCACATCAGCTATCAGATTAATCAGCGCACGTACGGCCACCTGACCAGCCAGAGGACCCAGGGTCCAACTGACCAGTCAGAGCACACAAGGCAACCTGACCGATCAGAGCACCCTGGCACTGCGTCCTAACTTTTTCGGCGACAACGCAGCAGGGCGCATGGTTAGGTTGCATCACCTGCTTTGGGTCCAACTGACCAGTAAATTTGCACGATACGGCGCCGCGGCACGCCATAAAAGCGATATTTTTTCGGAGTTAAAAGGGGTTTTCGCGCTAAGCATCGTCTTGACGCCATGCGTGACATTTCTATTTTTAGACGCAGCTTCTATTTCGGCAACAACGCAGCAGGGCGCATGGTTAAGTTGCATCACCTGCTTTGGGTCCAACTGACCAGTAAATTTGCACGATACGGCGCCGCGGAACGCAGTAAAAGCGACCTTTTTTTCTGAGTTAAAAGGGGTTTTTGCGCTAAGCATCGCGATGACGCCATGCATGACATTTCGATTTTAGACATCGTTTCTATTTCGGCAACAACGCAGCAGGGCGCATGGTTAAGTTGCATCACCTGCTTTGGGTCCAACTGACCAGTAAATTTGCACGATACGGCGCCACGGCACGCCATAAAAGCGATATTTTTTCGGAGTTAAAAGGGGTTTTCGCGCTAAGCATCGTCTTGACGCCATGCGTGACATTTCTATTTTTAGACGCAGCTTCTATTTCGGCAACAACGCAGCAGGGCGCATGGTTAAGTTGCATCACCTGCTTTGGGTCCAACTGACCAGTAAATTTGCACGATACGGCGCCGCGGAACGCAGTAAAAGCGACCTTTTTTTCGGAGTTAAAAGGGGTTTTTGCGCTAAGCATCGCGATGACGCCATGCATGACATTTCGATTTTAGACATCGTTTCTATTTCTGCAACAAGGCAGCAGGGCGCATGGTTAGGTTGCGTCACCTGCGTTGCAAGGGCACGGTTTGAGGCACTTGACCAGCCAGTGCACACAGCTGCCTCCTGACCAATCAGAGCACCCCAGGCCAACCAGCCGATCAGGACAGCACATCAGCTTTCAGATTAATAAGCGCACGTACGGCCCATAAAGAGCACATCAGCTATCAGATTAATCAGCGCACGTACGGCCACCTGACCAGCCAGAGGACCCAGGGTCCAACTGACCAGTCAGAGCACACAAGGCAACCTGACCGATCAGAGCACCCTGGCACTGCGTCCTAACTTTTTCGGCGACAACGCAGCAGGGCGCATGGTTAGGTTGCATCACCTGCTTTGGGTCCAACTGACCAGTAAATTTGCACGATACGGCGCCGCGGCACGCCATAAAAGCGATATTTTTTCGGAGTTAAAAG